GGGAAAACTCTGCCAGGCCTCCCTCTGATGTGCCGTCCAAGAAACTCATCCTCAATTGCCAGGGAGAGAAAAGCATGCTGTTGCCCCAGAACAGGAGCCAGCAGGAGCCACACGCACTGGAAACAACGCTTGCCTTTGCCATCGATCCCAGCGTGGGCTCCACCCCGGTTTATGTGGAAACCCAGCCATCCGCCTCGGACTTGGGCTTCGGCCCTCTTGTCGGAGCCGTGAACCTCGTCCCGTTGGTTCAAATCGTGGAGCCCCTCAAGGCCGTGACGCTGGCGGTGGCTTCCCCAACGGAGGCCGTCCCCGGCCAGCCTTCTCCGGACGCGATAGAGCAGCAGGTGGTCGATCTCGTGGCCTCTTTGCCGCCCGCTCACTCCGCAGTTGGGGTCTCGGGGCCGTTTTGTGCCAAGATGGTGGCCGCCACTGCCGACCAAGCCTTGGTAGTCGACGAGTCCGAGCGGGGTGCGCTCATCATCGAGAACATCTCCATCGAACCCTTCTTGGAGGCTGAACCTTCCGCCACCGTCCTCAGCTCCTCTACAGAGATGGTGGCCTATTTTGAGACCATCCCCACCGCCCCCATTGCAGCGGCCGCCTCGTCCGGCGTGACTCCCCCCGAGACCGTGCTCTCCTCGGCCCTCAGCCTGCCCATCGTCTCCACCGTCCCCATCGTCTCCAACCAGGCCTCCCTCACCAAGGAGGAGGAGGAGGAAGAAGACGAAGAGGAGGAGGAACTGGGAGAGCTGAGCTCGGAGGAGTCCACGGAGGAGCAGCTGGAGGAGCATCGTTACCACAAGCACGAGGAGGGGGGCACGGCAGAGCTGGCGGAAGTGGTGCTCAGCCTGCAGAAGAAGGTGAAGGTGCTCCAGCAGCGGCACCGGCGGCACTGTGCCAAGCTGGAAGCCATGGAAGGGGTGGTGGAGCAGCTCAGGAAGGAGAACCTGGTCTCCGAGGAGAAGCTGAAGCTCTTAGAGATGGTAAGTCAATACAGAGATGGTTGCAACGTCTGCCTCTTATCCCAGCCCCATGGCAGCAACATCGTCTTTGAATGACTGTACTGGGAGTTACGTTACGTGGGTAGAACAGATTTTGATTGGACATTGGGAAGAGTGTACTTCAACCATGTGGGTAAATAGCACTATA